AGTCATCCACATTAGCGGTATGAGTATGCAAGGCGTTGGTTTAGCACCACAGAGCTGTTCTGTTCAGACAAGCGATAGTGTCCAAGCAAATATGCATCGGGTCTTTGCTTGAACGTCTCCGTGGTATCCGCCATTATTACGTCCTCGGGAAGCCCGTTCCAGGCACCGACGACTCGTTGTGAAAAACAGTATTTGCGAACGTCCAGGCGGCATCGGGATCCTCTAAGTTTTAGAGAGTTCCCACGCAGGTTTGTTGTTGTGGCCAGGGTGAAGAAATCGTCGGGGTTTAGGGCACATCCCCGGTTCCTCAATATCCGATAGGCCTGTATGAGATCTCCTCGAACCTGCCTGTACTCAAGAGGAAAAAGTTTAAGTTCCCTAAGTCGGCAGTTGTAAGGTTAAGTCCTGAGGCCTTTTACAATTTTTGGTGCGCTCCTCTGAACTCTTTCTAGCAACTTATTGTCTTTTTTAGCCACGGGCGCCACGCTTGGATTCCATATTCCAGTTGCGAGCGAATGAACGCTCCGTATAATTTTCCAAATAACTCTTTGTCTATGTCCACGAACGATCGTTTAATGGCAAGGAGAACACTAGTTGCTCTTTTGGACGCCCTAAGACACTGAGATGAAGGCTTAAGTGTAGACAGAATGTTAACCCCAAGATCTTTTTGTTCTGTTACATTTGAAAGGCACCTTCCACCAAGTTGGTAATGGTGATCCTCTCCGTCAGATCTTCCAGTCGTTTTGAGTAGCAGCGCGACGCACTTCTCTAGGTTAAACTTTAGCAGCCATTTGTCAGACCATTCGCATAGGCGGTTCAGTCCTTTTGCAGGGACCGTTCATCATGTTCGCCGTTGATCGCTCGCCATAACTTGATGTCATCAGCAAATATGACTCCATTGCAGTCCAGTCCATTCATACAGTCGTTGACATAAATTAAAAATAGTACTTGTCCGAGTACGGAGCCCTGCGGAACTCCACTCACAACTGGCACTGGTGTTGACTTCGCATTACCAATACACACAGACTGTGATCGACCAGTCAGAAAGTCCTTTACCCAGTTTAATAGGTTTCCCCTTATTCCTGACTCTCGGACCTTGTAAAGTAACCGGTGGTGTGGAACACTATCAAAGGCTTTCTTGAAATCTATGTAACCGATATCGACCTTTGTTCCTGCGTCTAACGAGCGAGACCACTGTTCCGTTGAATGAAGCATATTAGTTAGGCAGGAGTGATTTCGTCGAAAGCCATGCTGGGAACTAGCAATGAAATTATTTTCTTCAAGGAACTTCATTATGGATTCTTTGACTATTCTCTCCATGACTTTGCGACAAATGCACATTAGGCTCACCGGCCGATAATTGTTTGTACTTGTTCTGGATCCGCCCTTGAGAATGGGGTATACGTTCGCCACTTTCCAATCAAAGGGGAGAATGCCTCGGTCAAAGGAGGACCTAAAGATGTGCCAAAGCGGTTTGGCGAGTTCGCATGACAACTCCTTCAGCACTTTTGCCGGAATTTGGTCTGGGCCCGGAGACTTGCCCTCCTTAAGCGCTATAAGGTCCTTCCTCACATCTTCTATTATTTCGTCGGTTGTCCCAGCAGGAGATCCAGCCTCGTCAAAGTCCGTTTCATCGATGAAAACCGATACGAAGAACCGGCTTAGATTTTCTGCCTTAGCGTCATTTTCGATGATATCCTCATTGTTTTCTCCTTTCAACACTGCGACCGTCTCCTTGTTCTTTAACCTACTGTTTATGTAACTGAAGAGCACTTTTGGCTTATCGACGGCCCGTTCCATAAGTCGCATTTCATACTCCTTCCGCGACCTGCGGATAGCCCCCCATACCTCGTTTCGCTTTCGACGAAATTGCTCGTAATGGGATGGTTGTTTTGTTGTTGCATACCTTCGCCATAGTTTGTTATTCCGGTTTACTTCTTTCTTTATATCCCGTGTTATCCAGGCAGGACGATTATTCTTTTTGACTCTCTTTGTCGGACAGTTTCGATGTATGCTGTCTGTTACAACTCCTTTGAGAGTGTTCTAATCAACGTCTGGATGTCCGGAAAGAAAGACATCCCAGTCCACTGCCGATAATTCCCTTCTCATGGCGGCAAAATCTCCTCGCCAGAAATTCAGTCTAGGCTCAGTCGTATTCGCTTGTTGGCTGCAGAGGCGGTATTCCCAAAACAGCATGACATGGTCACTCTTACCGAGCGGTGTTATGGACCTAAGTTCGCCAGGGCAATCGGGTCTTTTGTAAGGACGAGGTCCAGACAATTTGCTCTTTGGTCCGCTCTGATCCTGGTTGGGAACGTGGCGTTTTGTACCAGAAAGAGATAAGCCGTTCGTTTCAAGAGCCTGGAATCAAACAAATTTCGCAAACCATTTACTAATAAATTGTTCCAGTCGACCATGGGTGCGTTGAAATCTCCGGTTATCAGTACCTCTTGGTTTTGTGACACCTCTTTAATTAGCCCAAACATCGCCTCGTCAATCTCATCAGTTTGATTGGGCGGCCTGTATACGGTCAGGAAATTCAAATTAGGTGCGCCTTGCATCCTCAGTTTTAACCACATTGCTTCACAGTCGCCGGAGCAATCGGTTTTGTGTCCCGACGCGATGATTGCTCTCTTGACATAGACCGCTATTCCTCCTCCTTTTCCATGCAGTCTGTCCCGGCGAAAAAGTTGGTATCCCTCAAGTGTTATTTCGGCATCCAAGACTTCGGTCTGGAACCAAGTCTCTGTGATAGAAATGACATCCGGCTGCGTATCTGTTAGCCATACTTTCAGCTCATCTAGCTTATGAAACAAACTCTGAGCATTTGCATAAAGAAAGCGGAGCTTAGACCGGGCAGATTCCCGAACGATTCTTGGGCCGAAGTTGCTGGATACTTCGCGCGAGTTTTCGGGTCTATCGTCCTCTTCCGAGTCTACTGCTGTTTGATTGGACTGGATGTTAGTTTGTTGTCCGTCATTTTCTCTGATCGGTTTGTCAGATGGAGGCGTTCTTTCCTTATTCTCTGGTTGTTCATTATGCTCAGTGTTATTGGTTGTTTCCAGAAGAATGAGCTGCGAACATTTACGATTTTGCCATTCATTATTCTTAGTTTTTTCTCGCCGGCATTGCATCTTCTGAGGAGTGCGGCCTTGAGTTCCCTCCATTTCTCCCGTTCGGCCGGTGAGAAATCCCGTTGAAAAAAATTGTTGGGTGGGCATTTCGCAGTGCTGGTTTCCTATTCAACAGTTATAATGCTTTTCCTCACTTTCGAGAATAATTTTTAATGGTCTGTGATGGCCCGACTCACCCTCCAAATCCTTAGTGGATCCTATCCTGAAAGCTTTCAATACGGTGATGTTATCGTTCTCTTGTAATAGGGATTTGAGGTATTGCTGGAATAATTCTATATCGTGGCTTATTCTGTTCTTTGGGATGTCTGAAGAAGACTCAGGCATACCCTTTACGATGATGCATTTATTGCGATCAATAGGGCGCTGGCGTTTATTTTTATACGCACAGTTGGCATCCCGAAAGCCTTTGTTGTCATCGATGTCCCCTTCAGCGACATTTGTCATGGTATGGCTACCGCAGGGTTCCTCGTTTATCGAGGCTTCCTGGTCATGAGGTACCTCTTGCGTCAGTGAGGCATCTTCTTGTCTTCTGTGGGGACTCTGCTCTCCCCTGCTGGTGCTCTGACATACTTGGTCCTTTTGGGATGCTTTGAGACGGCTCCTGGTTTTTTGAGATGCCCTTCGGTTATTTTGCGCTCGCACATGAGATATGGTCTCGGTTGCAATGGGGTCCGTAGACGGGCTGTCTTTTTTTCAGGGGCTAATACAGTTATTAAATACTTCCTACGAATGCCAGCAGGGAATGAAAATGTTATATAAAAAGAACATGATAAGGAAAAACGTTACAAAGTCGCTGTATGCCCGGAGGGTATGGATACTGCTGATGTGTCTTTGCGTGGCTGGTAAAAAATCAAACTCTCGTGCGTTAAAAGATGCATTTTTTGCATTTTTTCGATATCCTAAGATTAATTAAAACGGTTTTTGCCTGCATTCATGCCCCGGCTATTGACGGGATTAAAAATGTATTGGCCACCGCAGGCAGAATGCCCGAGTGTGGCCTAAATATTTGTTTGTAATCTAAAGTTGAATTTTAATCATACCTCCTGTGAGCGATGATCAGAGTGCTTATCTGGCAAAGCTACGGTGTCCATGCGATGCCGATAAATGTAGATGTAACTTTAGGCATCCTTTATTATGCCAATAAACACCCTGCTGCTTATCGTCTTCGGTGTTGAACGTCAGATTGACCGCTCTCCGAATTGGATGGTCATCAGGCCTTTACCGTTTGGGTGATATGTGCAATTAAAGTCTGCCCCTGGAAGTTTTTTCAACATATGCCACTTTGGGCGGACTTCGATAGCTTGTCTAAACATAGTTCCTTATCACAAAATTAAGTATCTTGTTTAATTCTAGACATTGTAAAATCTATGTGTATAAACAAAACAAAAAACGTTCTCTCGTGCGCTTCTTGCAGTTTGAAAATTGATTTGTTTTGTGGTTTTGCTGATGGAGGCCATATTCTATCAATAATTTGGTTGTTATCGGTAAAGAAAACCACAACACGTGTCCTTTGTGAATATCCTTAGGGGGCATGAAATGACATTTTAGTAAGCGACGAAACGAATTTTCGTTCCGCTTACTTTTAGACTATTTGGTTCAAATGTGCAAAGCTGAGAGCACTGTATTATTAAAAGTAATCCTGTAAGGAGCGATCTGGCTATCACTAGCGACCCACGCGTCCACCCTTCGGCTGCCAAATTCTGACGGCACTTTTTTCTATATATTTGATACACAGCGTGACACAGAAACACCGCATCATGTGGCGCGAAATCTACATATCATTGTTAACGTTCACTGGTTCCTTACGATGTATAACAAATACTTTCATTTCCGGAGCCTAACTTAAAGGACTTATCAATTAGCGCAATGACATATGGTTATGGACCCACGGTGGAATTAGCTGCCACCGCGAATTCCCATGTCAACATATTTGAGAACCGAGCCGAGGAAGCCTCTAATTCATGGGGGTCAAGCTCTTTTCAGAGCCCTCTGATGGGAGGCAGTGCCAATCAACCACATCGTGCAACTATTCATGATGCCTCAACAAGATCCGCGGACGAACTTTACGAGGACATAAATACCAATATGACAGCCCCTTCCTTTTCGTCAGTCCACTTCGACGAGGGCAAAGGACCGGTCAACGACGTCCAAACCGCAGAACACAGAGGAATGCTTTACAAGGATCACTGCATCATAATTCAGGGCCTGCCAGAGTCCTCCGCAAGTACCCCCAGGGAACGAGTCGCTGCTGACTTAGAGCAATTCCAGAAACTCCTAAATGAAATGCGGCAACCAACAGAAGATGTCACAGTCGTAAAGGGGTTTCGTCTTGGTAGCCGTACAACCGCCGCTCCACATACACGACCAAGACCCCTGAAACTTGTCCTAGGTAGCAATGAGCAGGCGAAACTAATCCTTTCCAGACGTTTTCGACTGAAAAATTCCCATAAATGAGTATTTTTTTCAGCCGGACTACTCACCTGCCGAGAGAATGAAACGCCGCGAACTTGTCCTAGAATTGAGAACACGACGAACCAACGGAGAAAAAGACTTGACAATCTACAACG